GTTCAAGTTCAGCCTATGTCGGATCACAGGATGTAATCCTTGCCAAATATCGAAATTTGTTCAGCAATTTTGGCGTGAATAGCTAACAGACAGAATTACTCTCACATTTATAATATTATTATGGATTAAAAAGTTACTTTTAACATTGTAATTTATTATTGTACAAAGTTTGAATAATTTGAACATGCAGTTTTAATTGTAACAGCTTGCAGTTATATTCAGTAGAGCGTCATATCAAAGCAAATCGCAATCCCGGACTCAATTAAATACGTTGCTTTGTACATGACGTTAGTGGGGTTATAAAATGTACTGGGAATATGAAGCTAAAAGATACCACAGTATTCCAGTCCATTTAGGAAGTAAAATTATCTCATAGTGGAATTACCTTACTTATATTAAATGAGAAATATTAAAAGAAATGTTTCTTGGTGTGTCCTACTTTCACGCAACAACGAAACCAATATAAGACCAATTGACGTAATTATGTATAAGGGCAGATCGTGAGCTTGCAAGTGACGTAAGACTTTTATCCCCAACGATCAAGTTATTTCGGCTTTGGGTATTTGTATACTCATATATGTATCTATGTATGAAGCAAAAATTATTTTTTTAAATGTACCTATAATGTGTAATTATTTATTTTTTTAGGTTCTTGGTAATTGCAACAATTGGTATGGCAGTGGTAGCCCAGTGGTAGCGCGCTCGCTTGGGAAACCGAGTGAAGCGGGTTCAAATCCCGGGTCTCGCACCTCTGATATTATCATGTGCGAATCATTTCCTACATAATTACTACTTGTCTTAACGGTGAAGGAAAACATCGTGAGGAAACCTGCATATCTGAGTGTATCTATCAAGTTTTCGAAAGACATGTGAAGTCCGCCTACCCGCACTTGGCCCGCGTGGTGGACTACGGCCTGATCCCTCTCGTATTGAAGGGAGGCCCGTGCCCAGCAGTGGGACGTCAAAAAGGGCTGAATACAATTGCAACATCAAATTAAATACATTCACCATTAGAAAATAGCATATATAATTAGTTCTGACTATAACATTATATATTTCTTCCTTTTATTCATCCTGTCCAACGTTGCTTTACTTTTGCATAGAATACGTTTACATAAAGTAGCATTAAGCGCGGTTCTATAAAATTAAAATTTAAATATTTCTTCGAGTTCGAACAGAAGTTGTAAATGTCGACCTGTATTTCAAAGGGACTTTCTCTGGGACGAATCGTGTACAATTAACGTAACTAATTATATATAAATGCAATGTGTGGACAGCACGTTTTAAGGTTATTGTCGCAACCTGCTATTGTTTGTTTTATTGTTATGTTAAATATCTAGTGCTATTCCTTTTAAAAGCTTCGCATTCTCACGATGGCTATAAATTTAGTACATTTGAATTTATAAAATAGAAAATCGTTAACTTAGCTTATGACGCGAACGAGTAAAATTAATTAAAATTTTTAATTTAGGCTTTCATCCATGCACTACACTCTTCATACAAGCGAAATGCTTCATAAATATAAATTTATTAATATAACAAAGTGAAATCTGTACATGACATATTTAAAAAAAACTGACTGTTGTCTGTTACGTTTTGTATACAGATTAAATATAGATCACCAGATATCCAAAACAATAGTTATTGAAATTTTTGTTTGTTTTTCTGTATATCTATTATTTTTTTTATTAATTTTTATGAATTTTAACTAAATTTTGTGAAGTGCTTACTTATGTCAACATTTAGAATAAGTTTGACTACAAGATCTCCCATTCTCACGGGAAAACAAAATAACTGGTTGAGTTGTAAACTTTAAGAGATATAACGAAACTATGTACATATTTACTAGTTAAAAAGGCCTACAGAAAAGTCCGCAATTGCATATTATGTCTATCTGCTAAAGTACATTCGCAATAACTTTTTTATTTATATAAAACGTACCCAGAGCGAAGCGAGGGTAAGTTGCTAATATAATATGTACCTATACATGCGTACGTTGCAGCATGTAAACACGCGTATGTGTAAGGTGTTTGTTACTTAGAATACTAAAAATAACTGTAATTGATCATTTTTTACAAAGGAGTTTATATTATTTTTATGCAATAACTAGTGCTACATCCAATTATTTTGAAATTAAAATAAACATGACATGTGACATTTTTTTATTGTGATCGCGATCCATATTTTTGTAAGCCGTGAAAATGATATTTTTGTTAATTATTTAAACCAAGTACCTCTTTCTGCAAGTTACCATCCATAAGTTACAGGTAATTGATAGTTTTATGTTACTGAAATAAACTTTCGGGAAGCTGTATACTATATCTCCAAAGCTTGAAATGAGCTTATATTCTCGCAACGCAATTACCGAGCTGTCACCACAAGCCAAAGCGAAGATGAAATTTATTGCATTGTTTCTTATTATAACGTTATATTTCATATCTAATTCCGTATATGTGTATACAATGTGTGTATACTAATGGGTTTAATAGAATAAAACTTAAATTTATCTACTTATATTCATTTTATCTCATTTTATTTTTGTAACACCTTCTTTCTAAAAGAAACTCAATCCATCTGTATTTATATTGGTATGTTACTTGATATATACAAGCCAATTAGAGATCAACTTTCATAACTTACTTTTAAATGATTTTGTAATTAGAGTACCTTTTTTGTTTTAATTATTTAATGTTTACGCTTAGAACAGAAAAAAGAATTTTTAATTTCGAAAAAATAACCTGACTACAATATTTGTGGCGCCGCCATTTACCAATAAATTTCAATAAATCTACCCTAATTATGATAAAAATAATAATATATACCTAATATTATTATAATAAGTAGTTGGGTAAATAGGGGTAACATTTTGCTTACAGCAATTTCTCGCTTGAATTCTTATACCATAAAACCCCGGATCCCATATAGGAACTTCCCACAACATTTGAATGAATTGCGTCCATAAATAAAAGTAGTAAACGACGTATTCATAAGCAAAATTTCACTCTTTCCATATAAATAATGCATACAGTGTTTGACCATGACCGAAGAATCACTGCTGTGCATACTAAGTCACAGGACAATAGCGTGCATTTCTCCTGAACGATAGATTTCCACTAGGTAGTTCGTTTAATATGGACGGACATGCGCGCAAATTTTATTTTATAATAACGTAAAGTGTGTACCTGATAAAAGTTTGTTAATAAATGTCATAGGTAATCAATAAATATTTATATAATATTAAGTAATAGTAAAAATAAATATATAATGTATATTATGCAAACGCTCTTCCTTCACCTTCCAGGTAAAAAGGAGTGAGTAATGCCGCTGGTATTACAGTAAATGCTACTGAATAATTAAAATGTCTGAACTGAAATACCAAATATTAATCTTAAATATTTTAAGCTATATTTTGTTGTAGGTTCTACAAAATAACAGGATTTTATTATGTCTATTATTAAATCAAGAGACGACTCGGAGTAAGTAGTACCAATAAGCACTATACTCGTATTATGTAATATTTTTATTATATTTTCTAGTAGGTATATACAAAACTAGTTTTTACCCACGGTTTCATTCACATGATAAGTGGGATCAAAGGTAGCTTATATCCGTTCCCAGGATGCAAAATCTGTCTAGCTGTTTAAGCGTGAAAAGGTAGATAACAGACAGAGTTACTTTCGTATTTATAATATTAGTATGGATTGTATCTAAACATTTTATAATAATAACTAACAGTTTTTAACACTAATTTCGAAGCCTTATGTTATATATACATTATAATAAATATGATAATGTTTTAAACTAATCTGTACAATTATAATAGTTTTCATCTGTTTTAAGATACTTGATAAATAAAAAACTATCTTTCTAGAACAGGTACAAAGCGCGTGTCACAATGGGAGGACTTGATGAGGAAGTTCTCGGAAGCTCACAAAGAGGAGTGCAAGTACGTCTGAACAAATTTACTGGAAACATGTTTAAAACAATGCAGTTGAAAACAAATATTAACTTCAACATCGTTTATTTTAATTATGCTTACTAATATTATATGCACCCAAAGTTGTTTGTTGGTTTAGTTTCTGTGGGGTTAAAGCCTGTTGTAAAAAATAACTTACACTCCAACGCCAAATGTCGATGGAAAAACAGTGTCTCTAATTTATTGATAGGTACTTTCATAACCGTTAAACTATATTTTAGTTATATTAAAATTATATAATAATCTAATAACAACTAATATAAGTTATTTATTGTTCACGAGTTGCTTATGAGTTGAAGCTGATTACATAATTTACAATTTTAAAAGCAGTGGCAGGGTGTTTCTCCTGCTAATGGTAAAGAAAAGCACCAGACTTTGTAAGCTTTCCACATAAGAAGAAATAAAAAATGGTAGAGTATGAAAATATATATAGGAATTCATTACCAATCATATTGTTTCAACAACAAAAAAAATTTTCTTGTCCTTTTTTGGTTTACTATACTATTGTATTGTATTGTATTCAGCCCTTTTTTTTAATGTCCCACTGCTGGGCACGGGCCTCCCTTCAATACGAGGGGAATCAGGCCGTAGTCCACCACGCTGGCCGAGTGCGGGTTGGCAGACTTCACATGTCTTTCGAAAACCTGCTAGGTTCTCTCGGACATGCAGGTTTCCTCACGATGTTTTCCTTCACCGTTAAGACAAGTGGTAATCATGTTAGAAAATGATTCGCACATGAAAATATCAGAGGTGCGAGACCCGGGATTTGAACTTGCTTCAGTCGGTTTTCCAAGCGAACGCGTTACCACTGGGCTACCACGGCCTTACTATACTATAATTTATTTAAACAGTAAGTATATACCATATATTATTCAATTAACACGGCACAAGAGACACGTCGTACATATAAAAAAATATTAACATATTTATATATACATAATATCTATACTATTGAGGAACGTTAAACCCTCCCTGTTGCGGTCGGGTAAAAAGTAGTACTCGTAATTATTTCAGAACGGTATCCATGGACATACCCCGAGTGCAGCGAGACGTGAAGCAGTTTCCCACTCGATCCCAATATAAAGGCACCTGGGACTTACTAGGAATGAGTGGATATGGTGTTTATAAATTTCCTAATGGTATGTATGTACTTTAAAAAGTGTATTGTTATTACATTTTATACTTAGTAACTAAACGAATTTTAGTAAAGGTGGAATGGATAGCCGACACCTTGGATAAATACACAGATTATTTTTATCGACGTTTCTAAGTTTCACGCAAGAAGAGCCGCGGACTTAAAGTAATAATATTATTTATGTATTGTTGTAACAATTTTAATATTTTAAAAACTAGCGACTCACCCTTGCTCCGCTCGGGTTCGTCCCTACGTTTTAACAATTAGTATAGATTTCTCAGATATGAGATATTTCCTGCAGTAAAAAGTATTTTAAATGTTGACCCATAGAATAACTTATCATCATACAAAATTTAGTCTAGACGTTATCTCGTGATGCGTTCCCAGACAGACAGATAAAAATTCTAAGACTGTAGATTCGGCCTCTGTATCAATAATAATGACAATTTCAATAAGATTTTGCAAAAAAATATTTAATGTACAGATACGACTCAGAGTTTTATTATATGTATATATTATCAAAAATCTTGGACCGTGGTATAGTTAGAATAACTAAGTACCTCTATGTGAGTCAAGCTCACTACAAGGATCATTTCATCAAGCATCTTGTTAAGCTCAGGATATCCGACCGTACCTACTTGTTAACGTAACATTCTATTTAGTAGTTAAATTACCGTACTTATTACTGGATATTTATCATAAACTTAATATATAAGAATTGTACATAAGTAATGACAAATTCAATAATCTTATGAGCTTTTGCTACCGTTAATAAATAAAAAGTGAATATAGTAAATCTCTAAACGGCACAGAAACATAGTAAAAACCTAAACCTAGTAAAAAGTAAAACTGTATCTTTTAATGTTCATTTATAAGTCTTAGGCCAAACGACACCAAACATTAATCAGAAAAAATCTTAGGTCATATTAGATAGTAAGTATATTAAATTATAAGACTTACATTGTAATGATTATATTTAATTATAACTAGCGATTCACCCTCGCTTCGCTCATGTTTGTCCCTATTTTTGACGTAGGTACCTAGTTTTGACGCTTAGTATGGAATAGTTTTTTTTTCAAATTATTTTTCGTGATATTTTCACTTATTTTAATAGTTATTTGGGGTGAAGACAAATCCAATAAAACAAAGATCATAAAAAATAGGCCAGCCGTTCTCGAGTTATAAGTGTTGTAACAAACCCGGCTTAGTTTTATATCTTCGCCTCTAGAAAAGCACAAACAGATCTATCCCACAGGAATCTTTCATTTTTCCGAGATAAAAAGTAACCTGTTGTTTGACCGGCAACAATAAGGTATCAGCATGCCAAATTTTACTAAATTTACGTGCATAAGTTGTTGTGTAATAAGCTGTATAAGTTACTATAGTTTTTTAACTATCCCACGGGAATTCTTTAATTTTCCGCGATGAAAAAAGTATCTAAAATGCTGACCGGGGATATAAGGTACCACCATGCAAAATTTCATTTAAATCGGTCCAACAGCCCGTACAAAACAGACAAACAGACAGAGAAACAAAAAAATTGAAAAAAATCTGTTTTTTTTCTATTTCTCTTCTTACGTCCCCCTGACTCGGTGTTTAGCTTTTTTTTCTATGTACAGACATTTAACCTCTACAGTTTTATTATATGTATAGATGTATGTAATTACACTTTACTTTTGCCCGATTACACCTTTACGCACCTAGTATTTATCAATATATTTATTGAAAACTAGCCTGACCTAATAACTCTACCGTAGCGCCACCTATCGGGTTCATATCTTCTTTTTATGAGTGCAAAAAATTTAAAAACAATCCCTACCCAGGAACATGAGCCAAGAGAGAAATGTGAGCCAAGTTTCATCCTTTTTTGGTTGAAGTGTTAAAAGTATCAAAAATAAATTTTACACAAATTGACATGATATACAGTTTTCAAAAGTAGGAGTGGCATAAAATAATTATATAAATAAATAATAATAATGTCGTAGCATAAAATAAGTTTTTTTACCTATATTTTTTACTTAGACGTAGTTTACGAAGGGGAATTCGATGATGGTATGTTCCACGGTCAAGGCGAATTGAAGTACCCGAGCGGGGAAAGACTTCGTGGAACTTGGAAGAAAGGGCAACTTACTAACCGGAAGCTCATCTTCGCTGACGGACTAGAATACAGTGAAACTGATTGGATGTATTGTAGAATGCCTGATAGAAGGTAGTTAAATCACTATATTGTTATGTTAATAAAATAAATGTAAGTTCGATATTTAAAAGAGCAACTGTTGAGTTTCTTGCCAGCTCTTTTCAGCAGAACTGCTTTCCAAGGCGGTGATAGCTCCCTCACGGACTTATTACACTGACGCTTACATTAAATTGGCTATTCAAAAGCACTAGTAATAAGTCTAATTGAATAAAGTTTATATCATTCATTCATTCATTTATTCACTATCTCAAACAATATAAAACAAAAATAAATAAAAGTCTTCTTAAAATTTCGTAAATTCAAAATAATATAAGTTTGAGGGTTTCGTACCTATCCGAAAAATCAGTCGGAACTCTATTATGAGCCTATATCTATCCTTCTGGTCTTAACTTTGAAGAGTTTGTTTTCTCTGAACCGTTAAAGCTTGTGGCTATGGTTACCTAACATATAATAAAAAAGTAGAAATGAAAAATTAAAAATTATTCACAAAAGTTTTATCTATACTAAAACGACTATTCGCCGTACAGCAAAAACAATGATTAAATTTTAAACAAACCTATCCATTATCCATCTTTCAACATTAAAATAATTGTACTTCATGATGACGAATAAATTTCACCTTATTTTAGTCGGAAAAACTTGACAAAATGAAAAATTATTCTAAAAATGAGAAGTTTTAGTGAAATCCCTTTGACAACAAATTACATTTATATTAAAAAAGTAGTGCACACCAATTAGTGTTAAATGACTTATTTTATTTAAAATTCTTTAGCTTCAGCTTAAACATAATTAATTCAGATGTCTACTTTTTCATTCTGTCCACTTATCTTAGGTACCTACTAATATTATAAATGTGAATGTTTAGGTGTTTGGATGTTTCGATGGATGTTTGTTACTCAATCACGCCAGAACGGCTGAACCGATCTGGGTAAAATTTGGCATAGAGATAAATTATTGTCTGGAATAGCACATAGGCATTTTTATCCTTTTATCCCAAAAAAATGTACAGTTCCGTGAGATAATTTCTTTTTGTATTTCTAAAGGCGAACCATAGCGAAGCGAGGGTGAGCCTTGAGCCCGGCACAAACTTTAATAAGAGTATATTCTGGGTTTCATATCAAAGAGACGCAAATATTTACTTAACATATTTTATAGATTCACAATAGAATATGACAATGGGCTACAACCTGCTGGCCAATCCTATCTAACAGCAGAGCAGCCGTCGAGGACTATACCGACTGGGTACTACGACACCGGAGATGGCTTCTATGACCCTCTGACCAAAGTTGTCTACAAGTTCGATGATTTAACTGCTATTTTAAGGTGACTCCAAATATATTAATAATTGCGTACACATCAAAACTTTCAATATTAAATGAATACAACAAAAAACAATTATAAGAGATATTTGAAAAAGAGATATTCCATCGATAAAATTCTGAAATTTTCAAAAAAATAGTGTTTTCGTACAAAAAACTACAATTTTTATTAAATGACTATAAATAGAACAACTTCTAATCAAAAATATCGAGATGTTTTTCCAATAGTGATACTTTATAGCATACTATTAAAGGTATTAACATTCAAATTTTATTTCACATCTGATGAAATATTAAAACCTTCATCAATTTTTTTCGGCTCTTAATTAAAAATCTCTTAGCAAAGTTTTATTATTATTATTATAGTGTAAAATAATATACGTAGCTATAAATACTCGTCTATGCATTAACAATAACGATAGATTTGACATTGTACAAGATTTGACGCGCAGTAATAATTCAATAGAGGTTAAATCGAAATAGCTATTTCACTTGCAAATAGCATGTTTTGATTTATTCAACACTTTAGACTAAGTTTATACCGCTAGTCGTCAATACTAAAATACAAAATCTCAATATTTGTACTTTTCAGTCCAGTAATATATTATATCAGATGACATTATTAATCTCTTTATATATATAATTCGTAACAATCTAATAAGCATATGACATATCCATATTAATATTATAAATGTGATAGTGTGTTTGTTTGTTTGTCCTTCTTTCACGTCGAAACAGAGTGACGGGTTGGCGTGATTTTTTGTTTTAAGATAGTTGGAGGGCTGGAGAGTGGCACAGGCTACTTTTCTCCGTGGGAGATTATTTTATTCCCACGGGAATCATGTTATAATTCAATCCAAAATAATATTTGTGGTCAGAATTACTTGAAACTCCTACAAAGGGGTAAAATAAAGGAAAACAGTTTGTATGAAATCTACCTTTTTAGAGATATTTTTGTACTTTTAACGGTGGCGAAGCCGCGGGTTCTGCTAGTATAATAATAAATAAATAATTATCATATACACCATGTGACATGAATATGTGATTTTTTTACACATTTAAAATGATTATTTATCATCACGTATATTTTCTTTTTTCTCAATGCAAAGAATTCTGCATCTAAAATCATTTTTGATCAGAACAAATAAATTATAATACACCTAAAAAAAAATTTTACCTGATGAAAAATGCAAAACCTAAAAAACCTTTCTTGCCTGCAACAGAAATTTTTACACCTAAAAATTAGCCGATAATAAATTATTACCGCTTAGATTTAAGTTATCGGAAACAGTCGCAGTTCACGTAACTGGATTAATTTATACTAATGTATAAAACAAAAGAGTTTATATTTTGTTTGTTTTTTCTTAAGGAACGGAGAAATCTATACATAATATAATAAAATTCTGAGTCAAATCTGTACATTAAATATTTTTTGCAAAATCTTATTGAAATAGACATTATTATCGATACAGAGGCCGAATCTATAGTTTTTAGATTTTTTGTCTGTCTGTGTGTCTGTTATCGCATCACAGAAAAACTACTGGACGGATTTTGATGAAATTTGGTATGGTCATAGCTGATTATCTCTTTTTACAGCGGAAAAATATCTCATTTCTGAGAAAAAATACAAAAACTGTAATGTAAGAGTATACTAATATGTAAAACCTAAGAATTTGGCTTTTGGTCATCTGAACGCGGGCGAAGCCGTGGGCAATGCTAGTTATACATAAGTCAATGGAACTGCGGGAAAAAGCTAGTAAAATATGATTCGTATAGTTAATTACTGGATTAATAAGTTCGGCCATGTTGAAAATGTTTGTATCTGAAATTTACTGTACAAGCAAAACCTATAAATGAAATATCAATTGTAAACCGAAAACAGAAACATTGATCACGAGATCCGCATATAAGTAAGCTTAATTAATGAATCAACGGCTCGCATCCAGATCGCTGACATTGACTTACTAAATGATTACCTTCATTTTTGTTAATCACAATCTTTACAATTATTTTATTTTGATTGACAAATATCATAAATGCTTATATTTAATATAGATATCTACAAAATTTATGTGGTCTGTTAATTATTCTTTTATAGAATAGATACTAATGACTAGTCTCTGGGTAAACAGACGCATACATGTTACTCTCGAGCCTAACGACGCGACGCTTGAACTTAAATATTATGGGTTCCCGATACCAACTTTTATACCCTATTTTACCCCCTTCAAATGAAGTGGATGAAATGAAATAAATAAACGAACAAACAGACAGAGAGAAACAGAAATATTTCTGCGAAATTTATTTTTATTTCATATTAGTATAGATATATGATGGAAAAGACATATTTTGTCGTTTATTTAATAGTATTACTTCATTACAATATCAGATTTATTATATACTCGTATTTCTCGTTTTCTCATTGATTATATTTTTTTATTATAACAAGTCTTAGCACTTTCGCATAAAATAATTAGGCCGAAGTGCGCTTATCGTCGACGCAATCTGTAACGCAGTGATGGATCCATGAAACCTGTCGTATCACTATCGCGATAAATGCTTGGCTCTTGTGAAGTAGCTGACGGGAAATTATTTCCAATCGATCAGCCCTTACAGAGATTGACGATTTGTGTGATGATATCTATACTATAATATTATAAAGAGGTAAAGTTTGTGAGTTTGTGAGTTTGTGACGTTGTAGGGGTTAATCTCTGGATCTACTGAACCCATATAGATGAAATTTAGTAAGAAGACAGTTTGAGACCCTGGGAAGGACATAGAATACTTTTTATCCCGGAAATCATCCCTTAAGGGGGTGAAAATGGGGATGAAAGTTTGTAATGGAAAGCAAGCCAGGGACGGACCCGAGCTAAGCCAGGTTGAGTCGCTAGTTAATTTATAAAAATAAAAAAAATACTTAATAGGCGACAGCAAATATCTTTGAGCCTTTGGAATTTTACCGGAACTCAAATGGCCGTTACTATCACAGATATTCTCTACAATAATTCACTTAAGCCCATATAATTATAATACAACCTCCTTTATGACAAAATACCTCAAAATAGGGAAAAAACATCATATCCGTAACATATTCGTTCAAGAGCAAAACTTCTGATTTTAGTCGTAACAGACGAATTAGGGAGATATGATAGACATTCCATGATTATACCTACTATTTTCATAGGAACGTCACTATTTTGTGATAGACACTTTAACATGTTAATAAATCTGTAAATTTATCAAATAAGATTAATAGATTTGCGTGTCGTGAAAAATGTGACTCTTGGGAAGTTTAAGTGCAGAACAACCATTTATGTCTATTTTATAATAATAAATTATATTTAGCTACGCCTATGAAATTATTTTTATCTCTTTGTTTGCAACTTATCAAAGACAATTTAATTTCGTAATGGTTTTCACAATTTCTTTATGGTTTTACGTGGCGGAAATCAAATATGGGCATTCCGACAGAATAAACAGCGCCAATCTAGAGCTATTATTCCCTCTGCACCAGCAAAAATGACAATTTTATACAAATTATGAATGTAAAACTACATTAACACACAAAATATGTAACAACCGTGAGAAACCCTAAAATTAAAACCTAGGCGTGGGAACCCTTCCAAGTCGATAATTCTCGATACTCCATAGTATCTTCATCACGATTAAGTGTTTGGCTCTTGTAAAGGAGCTAAGGGCTAATTAATTCTAATCGCTCTTCGTTAGACAGTAATTTACCACAAGAATCTTGTACTTAATTATGTACGTGTAGATCGGCGAATCTATTTATACAAAGAACATGTATTTAAAGTATTCTTATTTGTCTTATTGCTATTTATATCAGACGATAATACATTTAATGTGTATATATTCTTTGAATGGTATCTCCGTATGATTATAAAGAACTTCGTAATCATTTTTCAAGTAGCACAATACATAATTATAAAGTACTCTTTATGCTATTGGGTAATTTAAGAGATGTTCGTTGGTTTGGCCTTCTTTCACACAGCAACGACACATTATTCATTTCTTATGGCATTATATTTGATAGTCTTCGTCGATTGATCGCAAGGATAAAAAAGCCTAATGAAAACTTAAGCTATTTCCTTATCCCGTTTTTTTCCGTTAAGTCAAGTACTTTTAGTTTTCGTACGTCTGTCTTTTAATTAAGTAATTAGTCTTATATGTAAGTAATATTGAGGTAAAAATATATCCAAACATCTAGTACATAACGTATGTGTTATCGATGCGTTAACTATATAATGATTTTTACGATTAGAAAGATCTTTTTAGTAGTAAAAAAACATTTTTCTTTGATGTTAGCTTTTCATCAAGAATAATTATAAAATTACAGCAATATAATATGCCAACAATATTATTTGCCATAATAATTTCAACATATTTTTACCATTTTGAATCGTAGTTAATACTCTCCCTAAATGGAAATATCACAAATGTATTATACCTCAATTAGTCATGACCGAAATAACTTTTATTTTTGTATACATTAGTAATTAACCAAATTAGAAATCTTTGGTAATAAGCAATCGTAATCTGTGTAACGTTGAAAGGTCCCAACAAACACCCCTACACCCCCCCCCCCCCCGCCCCCTCTTCCGCTCTAACTTTTGAAGTATGATTTGAAAATTGTAAAAAAAGGAGAATTTTCAAAATACTTTCAACGAAAATTAAAGTCTTTGTTATATGGGATATTTTCTACTTCATGTATTCGGCCGCAAAATTGACTTTATTTTTCATAATAATAACTATACTATACAAACTTATTTATGCCATTAATAAAATAAATAAATGGGTAAAAAATTGATTTTTTTTTACCTACTATTCCTGCATTCACTCATTTTTATCTTTTAACTATACTTTATTACATACTAATATATATAAATAATACTTTATTTACATAACCTCTGTTTTTATTATGTAAACATTCGTTAAAAGAAATCACTACTAATTCCTTCTTTGTATTTAGATTGAAATAAATCAATACTATTATTTCCATGTTAAAATTACAAATACTGTGACATAAAAAGCGACTGTGCTCTGAAGCAATATACATATTATATACTTTAAAGCTACTAAGCAAGTTATAATGAAAACGAATGTCTGTAATTACTATTTTTCTCGCTAACACTTCTAAAACTTAAAGGAAGAAAATCATCATATATTTGCCGATACCGTACCTTCTAAACGTGTTCTGATACGGGTATCAGTGTGCCTTATTTATTTCCTACGTTTTTATGTAAAAAATGGGGCGTTATTCATGAAATAAAACGCTTTTAGAGAATTTTATTTCCCCGTCCCAATAAAATATCACTTTATTTTTGAAGCTTCCTCGTTGTGTTGTTTTAAACCATCGTTGATTCCGATTTCCGATCCATAAATTAATGCTATAGTACCTATACAAAAATAGGCCATATTTATAACAACGTTTTTAAGAGCTTAAGAAAAACTAAGAGAATAAAGTAAAAATCTACATTTTTAAACATATTCTATGTTTCAAATTCTAACATCGCTATTTATAGTTTACACAATTTGTATTATATTTATTTCTTATAATTACAAATTGAGTTTTGGGCACTAAAATCTTATAATTATAAAGCAAACATAAAAATGCTTCAAACAACTGCAACTCATTTTTTAATCTATACATATAATAAAATTAATCGTAACTGAGCCGAATCTGTACATTAAATATTTTTTGGAAAATCTTATTGAAATAAACATTATTATCGATACAGACGCCGAATCTATAGCTTCTAGAATTTTGTCTGCTGTCTGTCTGTTACCGCATCACAGAAAAACCACTGGAGGGATTTTGATGAAATTTGGTATGGTGATAGCTGGTTATTCGGGTCAACATATAGGATACTTTTTACCGCGGGAAAATATCTCATTTCTGAGAAAAAATACAAAAACTGCAATGTAAAAGTATACTAATATGTAAAAGCTAAGAATTTTGTTTTTGGTCATCTGAACGCGGGCGGAGCCGCGAGCAATGCTAGTTTTAAATAAAACTATCTTTTCGGATTATTTTGCGGATTTATTTTAATTTTTGATTCCCGACGTTCCGCTTCGATGATTTCTGTAAAGCATTCTATTCGATCATTTTTTTTAAAATAGTAAAAACTGTCTCGAGTCTCGACTCAAAGGTCTCGGAACCCAAGATAACTAAATTTACAAAAAGCACAGGGACTTAGTGACGCCCAGGACCAAAGCCCTAATATGTAATTAATTTTTGGAAGTCGGTTTTACCCTTTTAATTTACTTCTAATTGTAGTATCATTGAAAGTTTTATTAGTATGTAAATACAATAATAATTTTAAACCGTCGATTTGATCTGATGATAGAGCCAGACGGTGGATTAGCTTTTTGAAAACTAAATATTCTTTTAATTTTATTACTTAAATTTTCTAATTCCCAATTAGGTGTTCCAATTTTAGTTGTTAATTTCTTAATTTGCTCTTAAAATTCGAACATTTACATTAAATATCTTATAATATAAAATTTAAGTAATGAAAGTATCCCTTATAAGAATAAAAAAGTACCATTTTGATGTTTTCATTAAATTATTTTTCAATAAGTTTACTAATAAAAATACATTGTTATTCGTATTTCATTTAACTCTTGCAGTACCTACGCTTTTATTTTATCACTCGATTATTATCTTTAAAGATCGCCATCAGTCCGCGAACAGAAATGGATAATAGAAAACTGCCGCACGTCACCCGATATACCGCTTGGTCCTCGCAAAGACCTATATGAAGAATGGGTTGAACCGCAAGTACTACTACCAGAACCCTCAGCCCCCGCATCTACTTGCAAAGCTACGGAAACACTTGGCTCATATTACGTAAATGGGACTGATCAAGAAATAGTAAGTATGTTTGGTCTTAAATTGAACGTATCATAAACAATAATATCATTAATGCTTAAAAATATTGTCGATGGTAATTGGTATTTTTATTATTTATATTTTATGTATTAAGTATATTAGATACGTGGTCATATAAATATAATAAATATGAGGCACACTAGGGTTTCAAAGTTGGTAATGCAATCCCTTGGAAATTCGTTAGCTGGTCGTTGGGTATTTGGGACTTAAAACGGCTCTGTAAAAGATTAAAAATAATGAAATAGAAAGTTGTTCATACAGATGCCAAAAGATCTTTCAAAAAAGGTCTCGGCACTCAGTCGGCTAGCATTAAATATATTAAGTAAATTAAGAATTTTATGTGAAATTTTATGCAGAATAATTTTAATAGGCCCATAATAATAATACCTACTAAATATGTGTACGCGAAAAATATACGTCATGGCTTTCCACAGGAGGTGGCGTTTAATAACCTAGAAAGAGATGAATCAGATTCATCGAGTAGCAGTGATTTTTGAACCGAATAACTTTTATGTAAAAAAAATATATAAATGCATATTAAAATGAAATTCACTCGAAACCGTATTTTGGTTGGAGTAGCTTTAGCTTTAATGGGCATTTTGTTTTTTAAGCTTTTACTATAGATACAATTAGTACTATTGGATATTCTGCGCTTTTTTTCTAATTTATCTAGATTATTTCTATTTAGAAGTTGTAAGATGTTTTATTTACGCATAATAAATATCATTATGCTAAACACTATCGTTTTGACTATTTTTGTAGGAATTATTATCCCTATGACATTTGTAAATTTTATTTCATTTTTATTTTTATTTTTTTTATCTACAGACAAACGACAGAAGTGGTCTATTTTTAAGAAACTGGAGAATATCTTCCGGCATATTATGGGACCATTGACGTTTAATCGAATTTGTTTTTAATCTCTTTTAATAAACACATTTTTTATAAATTTTCTTTTAATTTCGATTGTTCCACATTTTTATAGTGATATTAAATAAGTACCCGCTGGCTATTCGTTTTTACCCTACTAAGGCGAAGCCCGAAGGAGAGTTATGTGTTTGTATGTATGTAATCTTTACACATGTAAGTATGTCTGATCCTATCCATATTCCCTCGTAATTTGTAAGACTGCATAATAAAGCAACATAATTCTTCGTTAATTTGTTCCCATCTTTTAAATCGCTTTATACGCAGTGGGTATTTTTGAACCTATTTATTTTTTAGTATATTATATAAAATCCGTTACAATTTAAACTAAAACTAATTATGAATAAACTAACTAGAAAACAAAAGTACTAGATATATTTTGAACAAAAGCTTTCGTTTACATGGACGTAGGTGGTAAGTAAGTTTAACAATTACAATAAAATAAGCAAGTATTATAAAATACTTTTAAATAATTGTGTTTTAACAAGTTCCCTCGCGACATTTTAGTACCGACATTTAATCTATACCTACGTATAATAAAATTGTAACTAAGCCGAATCTGTACATTAAATATTTTTTGGAACTCTTATTGAAGTAGACATTACTATCCATACAGAGGCCGAATCTATAGTTTTTAGAATTTTTGTCTTTCTGTCTGTTACGCGTCACAGAAAAACCACTGGAGGGATTTCAATGAAATTTGGTATGGTAATAGCTGGTTATCCGGGTCAACATATGGGATACTTTTTACCCCAGGAAAATGTCTCATTTCTGAGAAAAAATACAAAAACTGCAATGTAAGAGTATACCTACTAATATGTAAAACCGAAGAATTTGGTTTTTGGTCATCTGAACGCGTGCGGAGCCGTGGGCAATGCTATTAAAATATTAATGATTTAAAAGTGCTTGCAAAAGTATATTTAGCCTATTATAACATTTTCTATACTTAAATGTTACATGAAAATCGATACTTCGATTTAACTACTAGTATAGTATTATATTATGATCTATGATTTAACTAACTAATCTCGACGTATGTTCATCATTATGAAAGATTTACTAAATAAAATTAATTATTGCAAGGTCTTAAAATTTACATTTAAAGTTAAATAATGATACATAACTTTAATTTCTTTATCTTTCATGGACTATTCGTAAAACGCCGACTTAATAATACAAGACTCGATAATACAATCAATATGTATCAGAAACAGGATATGAAAAAAATATTTGTACCTATCTCAAGTTACGATGGTAGATGGACTTGCGAGTTGCGGTACAGTTGTCAATTTAATTTCATGTCGATTCAATGTAATGTTTTAGACGATTCAACTCTATGTCAAAAGCTTTTAAGCTTGCAATTCAATTCAATATACAGGTCAAAAAGCATAAGGCTAACCGGAAACATCTGTTTATTATGATAATGCTGCCAGATTAGGGGCTCCTTTTCCAAATTTATATAAAATACTATGTAGAGTTAAAATAATAAATCTAGTCCATGGCCAATTAAATAAAATGGGAATTTACTATTAAAAAATCTTCACCATTTATACAGAAATGATTAAAAACTATATATTAACACACAAAACTATTAAAAATAATAGTTAATGTCCGTATGGGAACTTTCATATTTTTAATATGCCAACACTCATGTTATGGAGTGAAAAAAATACGAGCATGGACGTCGTGTTAATGGACGTCGATCATTACAATTTCACAATAATATTTATGTAGTATAAATTATTCAACCAAGTATTTATCATAAAACATTGAGTTCCTATGTATTAGTTGTGTTAAATACTTAATTCTAATTAATTTACTTACTATAAAGGAAAAGCCGCTTGTCAGGTTATACTTAATATTTTTTTCGAAGATTGTAATCGTGATACGCGTTAATTATATTGTGAAAGAAGGCTTATAATGGTAGCAGAATGAAGTGCCACTATGAAGTTTTGTCCATAGCAAGAGAAGCTAGCGCATCGGACATAAAAAAAGCCTACCGACGACTCGCATTGCAGTGGCATCCGGATAAAAATTTAGATAATTTGCAAGAGGCAAAAGAACAATTCCAATTAGTGCAAAATGCTTACGAAGTACTCTCTGATCCTCAAGAGAGAGCATGGTACAGTATTTACACATATCACTAAATGACACATAACTATATAAATATTCGATTTAACATCTAGGACGCTGATTGTGACTTTTATTTTCTTATTATTTTCAGGTATGATAACCACCGAGAACAGTTATTGCGTGGTGCTGGCAGTTCCTATAATGATGATAGTCTTGATGTTTACCCTTACTTTAGTCCGTCCTGTTATAAAGGCTTTGGTGATGATCCCCAAGGCTTCTATGGAGTTTACTCAGAGGTAAATTCAGAAAGTCCCATATATTTTTAAATTTTTAGTCTAATCTTCTAATACAACTTATATTAATTTATATTTAGATATCAGTAATGCTCTACATATGCTCTTGTGACAGTATCATCAGTTTCCCAAAGTATCATTATTGAAGAAAGAAGAATTAATAATTGCAATCATGAAATGACTTACATGTCCGCAATATTACATGTTATGTTTTTTTTTTAAATATCATTATCTAATATTTTTGAAAATAACAGCAAAAATTTTTAAATGTTAGTAAATAATTAATTTCTAGGTATTTTCCAAATTAGCATCTGAAGAAACAGATTTTTTTGATGACCCAGAAGAAGTTGCAAAAATCCCCAAATTTGGAAATCCATCTACTCCTTATGAAGATGTACATGAATTTTATGCTTATTGGATGTCCTTTTCCACTAATAAAAGTTAGTACATTTTAATTTTGGTCTATAAAGTTCAATCTTTCAAAATAATATTTGACAAAAGTTATAATTTTTTAATAACTTTTACATCCAGATTTGTTTAATATTACATTTTTTAGAAAGAAATTGTATCTATGCAAAATTCCAATTAATACCTCCTTTTAAATTTGAATGATCAAAATATTAAAGTACAGTAATATTAGTTGAGTATTTACTACATATAAGTAATTAAAAATACCAATATATGATTTACTTTTTTTTTACTTACAGGTTATGTGTGGTTAGATCAATATGAAATATCACAAGGTGATAATCGGAGAGTTATTAAATTAATGGAGAAAGAAAACAATAAAATAAGACAAAAAGCCCGTAAAGAGAGAAATGAAGAGATTAGAAGACTAGTCAGCTTTGTTCGTAGGAAGGACAAGCGTGTTATTGAACATACTAAACAATTGCAAGAAAAAGCTGAAGAAAATAAAAAGAAGGTGAATTTCATTTATTTATTAACAACCTGCTTATCATAATGACTATGTATAAATAGCTGCTAAAATTGTAATTAAAATATTTAAAAAAATTAACTTATAAAAGTTACATAATGTTGATGACAATTTTGCCAATCAAATCACAAAAGGAAATAAGTTTCATACAAAATGTTTATTTTAAGTTTATAACAAAAATCTTTAAATAACCAATACTGTATTGTAAAAAACTTAAATAATTGCTTTAATATCTATACAGATAAATTCTGTTTGTTCTGGCTAATCTACGAAACGGCTGGACTGATTTCGACGTGCTTTCACTGGCAGATAGCTGATGTTGTTATGAGTAACTTAGTAATATATTGCGCCACTCAAAAAAATTAAAACACACCTAGGGACATACCCGAGCGACACGTTATCAAGTCACTAGTAATAAATATAAAAGCACTTATTTAAGTATCCTATCATACATTATGAAACAATCTGGAATTAATTTCAATAAAAATTAATGGTAACTCAAATATTTTTCAATCATTTAATAGAATAAATTTTCAAACAGTTACAATAAATGGATTTTGTCAGGGTACTGTGTCAAATGTTTAAAATATTTTGTATATTATGAAAGATATCGACAGTGAAATTACTATAATTTTCCTTGTATGTATTATATTTTACTGAGGTGTTATTATGATGCAGAAATATAATCGACTAAACCTTTCAACTTCAGGCAGAACAAGTTAGACGAGAGAGAATAATTCAAAGACAGAAAGAAATTGAGGAGGCCAAGAAAAAGGAAGGAGAGTCATCCTTCCTTCAAAGTGAAGAATATCAAAAGAAGCTCAGTGAGATAGAATCGTTACTTGCTGAGGAGTTTGGTCTTTCTTCTGATGATGATACAATTAGTGAAGGTGGCATGGAGAGTAGTAATGAGGAAAGTTCAAAGACTGAAGAGGTAACATAACATATTCTTTTATGGATTATTTTATTAATAACACTAGCGAAAACAAAATCAAATTATCCCCCACGAAACATACATATTTTCGGGATAAAAAGTAATCTATGTGCTATTCCAGACTATAATCTATGTCTGAGCCAAATTTCATCCAGGTCCGTTCAGCTGTTCTGGCGTGATTGAGTAACAAACATCCATCCAAACTTTTGCATTTATAATAATAATGGGATAGGATTATTGCAAGATGTACAAATTTAATAAACATTTCTTATATCCTAGTTGAAATCAACATAACATCTAAAAGAAATATGTTAGAATAGCATAATAATTTCCTTATAAAACACTTTGTACTTTGTTTCAGGTAAGTGAGGCATCTCGAGCAGCTAAGTCTTCAGCTAAAAAATCTACACTCAAAAACTTGTACTGCTCAGCTTGCAGTAAGCTCTTCAAAAATATTAATTCATTTGAAAATCATGAAAATAGTAGGAAACATAAAGAAAATGTTGCTAATATGAATTTAGATGATGACATTGATATTTCTGATGAAGAACAAAAACCTGATAAAAATATAGAAGAAAAAGTAAATGGACTAACTGAAGAAGAAGATTGCATTGGAAATTCAACTTCTGATATTGAGGATAATGACATACGAGAGACATTGAGTGATGATTCTGATAAAATACAGGTAATATTCATAGTTTTTTCATATACAAAAATATTTTTGAAACTTAGTTCATGAATTATGTTAAATTACATATAATGAGGATTTCAATCGATGTTTTTGCATGCAATGCAACTCGACCAATTAAATCAAACTTGCAATTTTTACAAATTTCTGTTTCTAAGTGACCTATGCTATGCCAAAGTAGAAAAACAAAGATTCTAGACACTTTATTTTTATTACATCCAGAACATTACCTTACACAAAATTGCAAAAATTGTTTATATTATGTATAATGCCTTGTTCCAAATAAAATCTTCTTATAGTTAGCATTAAATGTTGCCGAGTTTGTAATATAATTATCCAAATTAATTCCAAATCCCATTTCTATTAAAATCCATTAAATAGTTTCCATATGGTAAAAAAGGTTTCTATAATTTCTATCTTCTATTCTATTTCCTTATTAGCAATAAAAATAGCATATATAACTATTTACACAACCCAAGGGTATGAAGTAAACATTAAAAAACTACACCTAATCAATTTATGTCTTAACAGAATCACTAACAAATAAGTAAGAAGTATCTAATAATTTGACTCTTAAAAAAGAAGTTAAAGTTTGTGCATAAAACAATATTTAAATAGTTGTCAGAATAAAAGTATATAAAAAACAAATTAAAACCTGCATAGCTTATGTAGTTGCTACTTTGGTATATTTATTACAAAATTTTAAATCATTTTATTATATTTATATTTTATATTTGCATCAAGAAATGTAGAATAGTTGTAAAGAAATTATAGAGTGATTTTGAACCTAAATATGTTGTTTTCATATTCACAGGCTTTACCTAAAAGTCATAAGAAAAAGAAAAACAAGAAAAAGTCATTTATACCTATGCCTGAAAGTGAGGGTAATGATAGCCATGATGAAATGAGTTTTAATGAAATTGAGGGTCCATCTCGAAGCAGAAAAGCCAAAAAATTCAATATGCTTAAAAGTCAAATTCAAGCCAAGAAAGAAGCAAATCTCAAAAAAGGCTCACAGTCTCAGACTTCAACAGAAAATTTATATGAAGTGTCAAGTACAACACCTACAGATGATGCCTTAGGTGATTCTGCACTGCCGAGAGAAAGACCAGCTCTACCAAAGACTCAAAGGAATATAAAAGCTAAAAAATTAGTTGAAAGAAAGCCAGTTAGAACAAAAGCAAGTGAAACTGAAGATTCTAGTAGTGCACTGAATCTTAGATGTGTTATTTGTCAAGCTGACTTCAATTCAAAGAATAAATTGTTTGATCACTTGAAAAAAACAGGGCATTCCGTACCGCTTCCTCACACTAGCTTCACACAAAAGAAAGGCAAGAAAGGCAATAGGTAAACAGTGCAATGAAATTAGATAGATATGTATTAATTATTCTATGAGAATCTAAATGATTACTTCAAATCCTTACAAAGTGTAAAATGACTTTATCAATCTATTTATTAAATTTATGATCACTCAATAAAGTATGCCTCATGAATACTGAGTTTTACTTAAAAATAAAATCACAAATAAAAGCTAAAATAATTTATTTGGTTGCTTAAATATGAATTGTATTGTGTAATAATTACATAATATTCTAAATTAAAAATATTATTACTCAAATTCAGGTATATCTGCAAAACTATACCCTGGGTACTCTTTGTATGCATAATATGCTATCCTCATATGATAAGCTCCAGGCAAGAACATTATACCACCTAGAACAATCATAGGCCATAATCTATCAGAATATTTTGTATCAATATGACCAGTCACAATAAGGCTTCCAACTATAAGTAAGGAAGTTCCGACAACAAATAGAAAAGCGGCTAAACTTAAGGCTTTCCAAGGTATTCTTTGTGGAGGTTCTTCAAATTGTGCATCTGAAAATCCACTGTCATCATTCGGTACTGACATATAACCATCGTAATTCCGACGTAACCTAAATGCAGACATGATTATCAGAAAATCTGTAATAAATACAGTAATCTTTATTAATAAAGAATTAACTTATTATTCAAATGACAAGTTTTGTTAAAAGGTTTATTTTTCTTAAAGTTATGAAATGTTTAATACCTGCACTTTCCTTATACCTACAAATCTTCCTTTATCAAAGAGTTCCTAATTGTTTAAACATCTAACTGTATTTTTATCATTTATCAAATTATGAAAACTTTTAAAGAATACAATTACCGCTTGATTTGTTTATAAGATGAACAATTGTCAAAGTCAAACTTGAAACTTATGAGTCTATGACTCAATGTCACCAACATTAAATTTTTTCCCCGAAAGTAGTTAAAACTACTTTAAAAACAAACAAAAATTCCAATATACTGTAATGTATTCATTACAATTTAATTTAATTTATTATTATAAATTTGTATAAATTCACTTGAAAAATGTCTTTTTAAATCGTGTGGTAAAATTTTTAGCTACTATTATAAAGACTCTGAAAACAGTACAACATTATTTTTAAATTTCTTAATACTTTAAAAAAATATATTAAATTAAGAATCTCTTATAAAGGGTGGAAGAAAGGAGGACGGACCGTCTTTTATGGAGGATTAGTTGAAAAAGTATCCACTTGTAAACAGCAAATTATTGTCCGAAGACTCACCGAAATAGCGCTAGTGTAGGAAATGGAAATGATATAAATTTAGCAGTTATAAACACAGTGAAGTGTGCTGGGTTGAAAAATTTAATATAAATAACAAATAATATTATTTTATAAAGTATTATTTTAAAAATTTAATATAATTTACAAATAATAATAAAATTGGGGTGCTTAAAAATACTATATAATTTTATTCCATATTCATGTTTGTCTGTATATTATAATAATTTAAAAAAAATGCGCTGTAACAAAGCGGAAATTTTTCTTTCCTTTTTTAATTTAGTGTCCTACTCTAATAATTTGTGGCGCTCCTTTTAAAATTCTTCCACTTGCTCCTCTTAATTTGTTCCCTTTCAACGGACACTTTACACTGAGATTTATACACTGAGATGGTCCTCCTTACTTCTACCCTCCATAAAATCTCTCCTGAGTTATTTTGTCAAAAGTTATGGACCCTAAAGTCCAAGGAGAGGTAAGAATTCTGTAAGCTGGCCACACTAAAAACAAATACTATTGATATCACAGATTGTCTTTTCAACAATATTCTAACAGCTCCCATTCACGAACTCTTGCTATTTTAATTTCATGTAACATAAATGTCAATGTATGTAATATAATATATTTTGTATTTTATCTCATATTTATTATTATAGGATAATTTGTTTTTAATACTCTAACATACAGTTTATGTTTTACTAAAAAATATTTATAATATAAATATTCATGGCCTATTTTTGCATCTGTGTATTGGAAGTCTGACCATTATTTTACACGATTTGGACAAGTCATTTTGATGAGCAGGACTGCAGACTGTCCTTGACCTAATGCGGCACGATGCAGAATATTCATATGGACACATGACTTTGTACTTAAAAATTCATCATTGATCATTATATTTTAACATATAACTTTAAGAATATTACTACTTAAAAAAGCATTTTAATCCCCTTTTGAGATATAAATAATTAATATTCATATAAATATATAAAAATAAATAGCGAATGTTTGTCTGTATCACAAACACTTTGATATTTAGATGAATATAATTTTTGGCAAGCTATCTGTAACAAGGCAGTGGTAACTCGCTTACTTGAAAACTAAGTGAAGCGGGTTCAAATCCCAAGTCTCGCACCTCTAGTAGGTATATGTATTCATGTGCGAATCATTTTTCAACGTTTTTGTTGTACAGTAAAGGAAAACAATGTGAAACGTAAACTGCATGCTTAAGAGAACCTAGCAAGTTTTCGAAAGACAGGCGAAGTCCGCCAATACGCAATTGGCCAGTCTGGTAAACTATGGCCTAATCCCTCTCGTATTGAAAGGAGGTTCTTGCCCAGCAAGGGAAAACGAAATAGGTGATAGAACTTGTATTGTTGTAACTCCCTCGATGGTGTAGTGGCTAGCATGTACGGCTGCACACTCGGAGGTCCTGGGTTCGAGTCCCGGGTCGGGCTAAGTTTAGTTAATGAGTCTTTCTGTATAGTAAGCCTCAGTAACACCCCGGAGTTGGGAAGTTGGCGGTGTTTCACCCCGTGCCTCGGAGAGCACGTAAAGCCGTCGGTCCTGCGCCATTACTCTCACTGGTCGTGTCGAGTGGTCGTCCCACCGGAGTATGAGAGAGACAGGAATAGAGAGTGCACTTGTGTCTGCGCGTACACTTGTGCACTATAATATCTCCTGCGCAGTTGGCTAGTCTCAATGAGATTGGCCGCCGTGGTCGGAATCGGCTAGGAGAACATCATCAGAACTTGTATAAGCTTTTTGACATGGTTTAATGAGAGGGCACAAAGCACTACGGAGTTGCATCGCTAATGGGTATCTAAAGTTTGCAATAAATACTGCCACTTACAAACATATATTTATCGCTTAATATTTACTATGGTAATGTTAACTTTATATAGTACAGTCAATGCATACATTGTTTTTTTATACCTGACAAAAAAGGAGGAGCGGACAACTTTGAATTTATGTTTTTTTATGTATTTTAGCGATATCTGCGCCTATTGTGAATCGAATAGAAAAAATATGGTGATTTCTAATAATATTAATTAATTATTTAATTTAAATGTTGAAAGGGTATAAATTATGTGACGTACACAAAGGAGAGGCTCACAATGGAATGAGGCCAAACGTCTGCATCTAAGAAAGAATGATAGTTACATTCGTAATGAAGCTTGATTGTCGTGAAATCCAAAATATTAGACGTTTTATTCATTTCGCATAAAAGATTCTTTTTGGCAAAAAATAATTATGTGTCTGTTAATTAAGGCTGACCAGATTGATTCAGTAACTGTCTTTTACTATTACATGTGTGACTAATATTATTTTTATTAGTCCGGCTATTGATTATTAAAAAATATTTTTTTTTGGAGTCGAAACTGTCACCAAATCTTGAATAACTAAAGTAAATATGACATATATACTCTATTTCTGGTATCCTATGGTTCTGGGGTTGAAATAAAAAAGACCTGACGACCTCCACCTACGTTATCCAAATCGGGTCTGTCACATAATCGAAAATTAAAACTTACACATAAATTATCCAAATGCTCTAAAAATAAAATAAAGTTAAAGTTTATTAAAAAAGTTCAGTTATAAAAACTGAAAGTTTCCCTTAAATTAAAAAAAAATCTTAGGTTTTACATATTAGTGCTCTTACAATGCAGTTTTTGTATTTTTTCTCAGAAATGAGATATTTTTTCCGCGATAAAAAGTATCCTATATATTGACCCGGATAACCAGTTATCACCATACCAAATTTCATCAAAATCCCTCCAGTGGTTTTTCTGTGATGCGGTAACTGACAGACTGACAAACAGACAGACAAAAATTCAAAAAAAAACTATAGATTCGGCCTCTGTATCGATAATAATGTTTATTTCAATAAGATTTTCCAAAAAATATTTATTGTACAGATTCGGATTAGTTACAATTTTATTATATGTATAGATTAAGCACTAATTACCCACCCGCACTTTGCCCCAGTGTACTATATACATAAACATATATTAACTTCCCAATTTACGACGCGGCAAGCAATACTTAATAATACTCTTTCCCAATGCAACTTGCACGCCATTTAACCGAGCGTGCGCTGAAAATTACGCTTCACAAAATGGGTTAAATGGTTCATATATTTCAAACAAACAAACATTTTTTTTGTTTTACTGTTAATTATTATATATTAATTTTTAAGTATATTGAATTACTATTATAAATATTAATAGTGTACATGATAGATGTATTCGTGCGTGTTTCTAAACATCCGTTTTTAACCCCCGGCGCAAAAAGGGGGACTTATAAGTTTAACGTGTGTATGTAATTAGGAGTAGTGTGAATGTGTATATAGTGTCTGTGGCATCGTTTCCAAGCAGATGAACCGATTTTAATTTAGTTTTTTCTTTGTAAGGTGACTTGATCGAGAGTGTTCTTAGGTATATATCAAGAAAATCCGTTCAGCCGTTTGAAGCAATCATCTCTTGTCTAGACGGTAAAAGGATATGAACAATTTCCACAGATATAATCGATTCAAAATAAATCGATTCAAATAATTATAAAGCAGATGAAAATCAGTATGAAAGTTCGTAATTTGTCAAGTTAGAGAAGGAAGCTTTCGTAGAGCCCTGGTTGACGGTCGGCGATCACTGCTGGGGTCGAAGTTTACATACTCGTAGATACGTACGTTACGCACATTGAATGTTTTTGTGACAATAGCGTTTAAGGGTATTTGTGGTGTAATAGAAGCCATATCAAAACTGTTTTGACCGATTGTCTGTATTTCTTCTTAATTAAAACGTATTGAATAATTTCAATAGAAACTTACTCGAATTAGAATCTTTTTTGTTTTCATAAGATTCCAGGATTGTATTAAAACACAGTTAAATCATATCAGGCAAACGGATATATCCAAAAATTCTTGATGAATTTTGAAGAAACAGAACTAATTGCTTTATTATCTGTAAATAATTTAATCTATATTTTATTCGTGACTTATAAAGTCGAAGTTAGTTCTTTTTATTTTTTGTTAATTATTATAAGAATAAAATAAATTTATTTAGTTTAATTTTTTTTAATTCTTAAGTACACGATATCGGTGGTTTTTTTTTCAATTATTGCTAATATTTGGAATATTTACAAAGATAGATCAAAGGGTAAAAGATGTTGACTCTATACGCATAGAGCCGTAGGTAGTATTTAGTATCACTCCTAAAAGACAGTAAAAACAATTTCAAATATAAATATGTACACTGAATTAATCAAAATTACTAATAATGATTTAATAATATTAGTTTGATAAAGTTAAACTGAAGCTGTAAAAAAACTTATAGGTATATATGCTGCATGTACTGTATTGGAGAGCTTCTTAAAAACAAATAATTTTAAATTTAGAACTCGCAAACTTTCATATAAAAGGCCAAAAGATACTTCAGTCGTCTTAAAAGTTGTATGTATTGTATTCAACCCTTTTCAACGTCCCACTGCTGATCAGGCCATAGTCTACCACGCTGGCCAAATGCGGGTTGGCGGACTTCACATGTCTTTCGAAAACTTGCTAGGTTCTCTCAGACATGCAAGTTTCCTCACGATGTTTTTCTTCACCGTAAGACAAGAGATAATGTTTTGAAAATATCAGAGGTGCGAGATCCGAGATTTGAATCCATTTCACTCAGTTTCCCAAGCGAGCGCGTTACCACTGGGCTACCACTGTCTCTTCTTTTTCTTCACTGTGTCTTAAAAGTTAATCCATATCCATACTAATATTATACATGTGAAAGTGTGTTTGTTTGTTTGTCCTTCTTTCACGTCGGAACGGAGTGATTTTTTGGTGGAGATAGTCGAAGGGTTGGAGAGTGATATAGGCTACTTTTGACCATGGGAGATTATCTAATTCCCACGGAAAAACATGTTATAATACAATTTAAAAAATATTTATGATCAGAATTACTTGAAACTTGGTATTAATACTCTTGAATCAAATTAAATAATTACATGTTTTAGCATTTTCCGAAATTAATACTATAATGGGGTAAAATAGGGGATGAAAGTTTGTATGAAACTACATTTTTAGAGATTTTTTTTAGTTTTTGCGCGAGCGAAGCTGCGGGTTCTGCTAGTGTTATATATTTTGGAAATCAAAATTGACATATGAATTGAAACATATGAATTGTGAAACCCATATAAATACTACAAATATCAATATTAGAAGTTCATACGAGTATGTTTTGCCGCAATGATATTTACTTAGCCCTTTCTAAGCTTTTTTTTTAATTTTAATCTTTTTTGAGTTTTATTGTAGAATTAGACATTACAATTTTAATCTTTTAAAATATTTAAATGAGTACTTAAGTAGTGGCTTCCACTTAAACACTATTAACAGATATCTTCAATTTTATGATAATAGGAATATATAATTTAGAAATCGAAATTATTACAGTAATCACGCAATGCTTTATAAACAATACTAGGATATTGTAGCATTGATACATTCAGAAATCCATGAAATTCGTGTTCTGACACGAGACTGTAACGTGACGTTGTTTCGTAGAGGAGCTACGTATGTACGTATAAGTTATCTGTGTCAACAAAGACCTACGTTAGTCCTTGTGAAGCGCAGACTAATATCTAGGGTACCTAAATTCTAGCGTTGTATGCCTATCTACACTTGTATGCACATTTAATAGGCAGTACTCTACACCCACTTATGATACTAAAACAGCTTAGTAACAGGCTTCTTGGACGCCATCGCTGGACCGACGCCAAATCAAAGAATGTACTACACTTCACACTGACGGTGAAAGTGGTGCCGCTCAATAACTACCTAACCCTAACTTAACAGCTGATTTAATTTATAATACCTAAACTTTTTATTTTTCTATTAATTGTTAAAAGGGACTTTACCTAGAGCGACATGACAAATAACCTTTCCGCCGATTGGGGCACGTATTCCAAGGATTGTATTGTGTTTTGTGTGTAAGAAACGGCCTATAATAGTCGGATTTAGTTCACCTTCAAATCGAAGTATAGCGCATTGTGCGTGTATAATGTGTAGATTAGTTTAATCGCTTGCGGCAATGGTAGCTAGGACGGAGGTGGTTGGGGGCGCATGCGCGGTGGTGCAACGCGCGCAGCTCCCGGCTGTCACACTCCACTCCGCCGGCAAACCGATCTCGACGCACACGCGCGCCAAGTTCGCTACGCAAGCAACGCCGGCCCCTCGCGGCCAGGAGCCCTGCACGGCGCTTCCACACCCACACATCTATCCACCGGGGGCTGAGCACCGGCCGGCGTTCGCACACAGGGCTCCGCTGGCTAAAGGTAATATCACGCCCTACCTTTCATTTACACTGCAATGCCACATTTGTTAACTTCCCCTGCTGTTTTGAGATGCCGCATTACGGGGTGGCAATATTTCACAAACATCCATAATCTTAATTTATACGTTTGTACATAAGCTTATCCTGCCCTACAACATTTAAGTCGCATGAAATGGACAATATATCATTGTTTTATGGACTATTACTTATCAGTTATACTGCTTGCACGTACATCTACGAAAGTCAAATTTCTGATCAATAGTAACATATGGTTTGTAAATTTTGCGGAGTACCTTCGTCCTTTAGTCTGGCCTAATCGTTATTTCCGATTCCATTTTGTTTTGTTCGAAATATTTCTTTATTAACAGCCAGACCACTTCTTTCTACCGACACCTTTGTGGTAAACTCGCAATACTCTGCGTAATTAATTCCAATTAGCTCTAATGAGATGTTTTCTTTGCTATAAACTATCCGAACGACTTTTCCTAGGTGAACTAACGAAGGTGCATATCTATTCAAGCAAAATTTAAAAAAATCCCTCGATTGATAAAGTTATCATATTAAAATCAGAGTTTAAAAAAATTACATGGTTCTTAAAAATCCTATTTAGTATTTATAACTATTTAGCAGGTTCATTTTTTTTCATTTAATTAAAATATAATATAATAGTAACGAATACGATTTTATTAATATAGCGGCAAAGCAAATCGGGTAAATTGAAAATACGCTCACGCAAGAAAATATTGTATGCAGGATTCGACATTTTTTTTTAATTTCATTTTGAAAAGTACCTATGAGTTCATAATATATTAATGACATATATAATATAGAAAATGAAACAAAAAGTATATAAATTAATGAATAACTGTAAACTCGTTGGAATACCATATTGTATTTTAACAAAGAAAACAAATACGACTCTACCTGAAATAATCGTACCGGTAACTGCAGTTCCTTTATATGCGATCTAAAAACCTTGAATAACTTTTATCCTCCATCGACTTAGCCCTTGGACAAAACTAAAAAAAAACAGCTAAACTTGAAAAGTAACAATGTACAATTGAGATAAAAATTAAAACATCGTACTCGGGTTTACTTTAGCACTTATTTGTATCGGTCGCAATAAAACTGGGCTATATATTCGGCTACCATTCAAGACTCGTATTGATCTCAAATTCAAAACCACTTTAACAAAGCCACCACAGCTTAATCTTTTGCTTCTTTTATTACGATACAAAGTGCTTATTATATCACGTACGTATCTTCAGTCTACAATAGTAAGACGAGAGATGTTTATGCATTTTAATTATGAAAACATAATATAATTATCTATAATGCTGACATAATCGGGAGGCTTTCACAAATACATATATGTACGGACTATATATATATATATGTATGTAGTAGATTTAAGAAACTAAGAAATTAATAATGTTAAGTTTCAATATTATTTAACAAGAAACTTTAATTAATTAATAATAGTATTTTTGTTAGATTAATAATTTAATAATCATATAATTTTTAAAACTGACTTATCTAATAAATAAAAATATGTATATTATATATAGAAAATAATAAACAGTTAATACATACTTGTATACTTATTATGTATGTATCTATAGTTACTAATCTTTGTAGCACTTATCGAAAAAAATCAATGAATTATTATTATAGGGATATGAAATAAAAAATATTATGTATTTACATAATTATCCAACACTTATTTTAAAAGTAATCCGACATACATACAGCTGAAATACCTACATACATTTATAGTTATGGATAACTTACATATTACTACAACTCATGCAGTATTAAGTAAATAGCAGTTCTTGAGGATTCTCTATCTACAGTATAATATTCTGTAAATTTTCTGACTTTGATACGTATTTTGTTTATTAGATTCCTAAAACCTCTTCGTATACAAATAGCCGATTTAGTACAATCATTTAATTAAGGATTAATTATATTTTTACCCAAAAAAACTATCATTATCGACCAATCTAAAGCGATTAATGATTCTCAACTTACATTACTTATTAACTATAACCTTAATATTTATAACACTTTGTTAAATTTTGCTTTTCATTTTCTCGTTTTTGTGATATAAACATTTCAGTCGGTACTTATATCGTTATTGCTTTACATTATTCATCGCTTTGTTCTTGTATTTCCAACTGCTCTCGTTATAAAGAGGGAATAGGGGAAGTCAACGAGTACAAATGCACTGTCAATAAATGTGGACAGAAAGGGTTGCATGATATCTTCATCCACAACCCTTTTAAGAAGGCTTTTTTATTTTATTTAATAACAATTATATTACACTTTTAGCAGAACCATATGTTGTCTGTATTTATAACCACTTCTAAGCTATTGTTTTTCATTTACTTAACCAATCAATAAGAGTTAGTTATATTTTTTATTCAGACTATCATTACTACAATAATAAAATTATTTACATGGCGGTCCGATTGTTCCCAAGTGATGTCAAGTTAAAGATATAATCTAAAGAATAAATATATATACAAATATAAATGATTATATATTTAACTTGACGTCACTTGGGAACAATCGGATTATATATATATATATATATATATATATATATATATATATATATATATTTCTTTATAGAAATGTACAAAAAACAAACCAATACACTGACATAAACTTGAAAAAAATAATATCATGAAACACAACTGCAAATAAAAAAAACAATTTGACCCCAATATAACCCTATTACATAAAGAACATAGGGATCCTTTTTTCAGGACCTCTTATATTGAGTCTTGATGGTAACTTAAACCCGATCTATTTTTACTAGAATAATAAATATTGTTAAACCTAAATTTAAAAGGTCGCTTGATTGGGTCGATTGTCTTGATTTTATATAAACTTACTTTTTAACTTGACTTGTAATCGACTAATTAACTAATTAAAATATAATCAAATCCTGAAACCTTTGACCTGCTTTCTACCTGTCATATCAATTTGAAATTTTGTAAGTACATATATAAAATCTGGGTGACGATATAATATTAACACTATGCTAATATGATAACGGAAGATTTCGATTGGAACTCTTTAATTACATATTAATAATTTTTTATAATTATAACTGTTTATCGTTGTTTGGTTTCGTTTTTGTATTAGGTATACTAAAACCTACATTTACAAAAAAAACTATTTTGTGTTACTCGTTTCAAGGGTTTCCTTTTATTCCTTGTTTTTTTTCCTTTCCGGCAATTTCTTGCGAAATGAAGCCAATTCCAATGAAACAATCAAGTACTGGGAAATACTTACACTTTAATTTCGTAACCCAGTTCCAATCTCAGTGCTGCTTTAAAATTCGAACTCACCTTTGAAGAAAACTGTGAGAAACTTATCAGCGTCGCTTGACATATTAATAGAAAATTAAATTGCTTCATATTAATATTTTATATTAGCATTTACCCGCGTTTATTTATGCATAATGGGTCCTCGTATAAAGTTGTAGCTTGGTGTAGTAATGCGTGTAATTTTCATTAATAAATAGCAAAATAGGCTATAAGATGCTCAAATAAAAAATAATAAAGTCGGACTGATAGTTCCAAAGATAAGCTTCTTTAAACATGCCAAAAACATTCATATATAAATGCAGATATACATTTTTTAATAATAATGTACATAATGATATATAAGTATATTTAGTGTGTACAATATTTTTTTATTATAATATTTATAATAATATATATTATACCTAATGCGGATCATGTTATTATAATGCGGACCATACGAATAAATACTTGATTAGTCTATTAATTATTTCCTTGACGCATATTGCATAATCTATACATATAATAAAATTGTAACTAAGCCTAATCTGTACATTAAATATTTTTTGGAAAATCTTAATGTAATAAACTTTATTATCGATACAGAGACCGAATCTGTCTGTCTATCTGTCTGTTACCGCATCACGGATACTGGATCACAACCACAGGATAGATTTTGATGAAATTTGATAAGATGATAGCTGGTTATCCGGGTCAACATATGGAATACTTTTTACTGCGGGAAGATATCTCATCTCTGAGAAATCTATACTAAAAGTTAAAACGTAAGTAGGGACGAACCCGAGCGGGGCGAGGGTGAGCCGCTAGTATATCATATGGATATGGGACGGACTATACATACGGAATGGGGAAATAATGACTATTCTAACTTACTGATCAGTGAAAATAATCATTTTATACTATGAAGTTCCTCGCTTTACGTGCGCATAAGTTATGTTCGATACTTTTTGTTTATATGTAATATTCTTAACTCGAGTAGTTGTGGTTACTTGATATGTAAAACCTTATTAAGCTGACCAAAAATTCGACGTGGCATAAGAACGGTCGATAACGACTAAAACCCACTGTTTGATGAGATCAATAAAAACAAGGAAGTTTTCAGGATATCATTAACGTAACGTCGAGCAATCGATTGGTATATTTTGATAAGAGGTCCTTCAGCTGAGTTATCGAGAAAATATAAAAGTTAATCGGTGACCGAAACACTAGAATCCACTTGCACCCACGTTATAATGTTGAGATCTAAAGGAATGCTTTGTAGAAAGAAAACATTTGCTTATTATTTATATAAACCTACATACGTACCTATATAATTCTATATAAAGCTTTGGTATCTAATATGATCTTCTTTTATAAAACATATGTATTTTATAATAGAAGATATGGGTATGTCAAAGGAAATAAGTCCCATAAACTAAGTTTTGCATTATTCATTCATTCATCACAACATCGTTATATATGTGCTTACACATGATATAAATAACAACGATTCCCATTGGGATAATATTAAAATGCGCAAAAATGAATGGTGTAGCACGGTAGGTTAGGTCAGTTACGCCAAAAATATTCACAAAGTGGCTGAGGCTGGTCTTTCATTCAATTTAAGTTGATACTTGATACTACTCAAATATGAAGAATATATAAGAGATACAAGTTCAACAAAAAA